CTAAATAGAGTGAACCAATATGGCCTTTATTATCTGAAAGTGCAGCTGAAATAGGAGTACGGATTTTCCAAGGTGCAAATAAGAATCTGGAAAATGACAATGATGAACAATTAAGTAAATCAGAAGTTGAAGCAATGCAATTACCTATTGAAAGATTAGTACCTTTCCCTATATCAGAGGGTTCATTGGGCATTAATGGAAAAGAAACATGTGCATTATGCGATATGACATTGCATTATATACAAAATACATTAATGAATCCTTATACAGAGGTAACAATTATGACAATATCTTTGCACCTTATACAATTTGCTAATCATATAAAATCTAAAGAATCATACTATATCAAAACAAAAAATAATTTTATTTTTTCCTTAGTCTGACATAAAAAAAGCACTAAATAAGGTATGTAAGTTATTGCCAGAATCTGTATACGGACAATGTACGGAATTTGTAGACCTTTATGGAGATGCAATTATAGCTATATTAATTCAAGAAATTGACCCATCTCAAGTTAGTACATATAATTTATTGCATTTACATCACTTAATAAAAATGGTAAATCACAAACTGCTACTTGCAGGTATGCCCAATGTTACGTCTGTGTCCCACTGCGAAATTAACGGAACTGTGGCAAAGTGTTCCAGCAAAATATATGCTAGAAAAAGAAAAGAAACCTAGTTGTCCATTATGTTTACTTGCTGTCACACAAATTTATAATGTCATAAAAAATAATAAATCAGAGGTTACAGCAAACTTCAGTTATATATTTTTATGGTCTTTAAAATGTAATATTGCTAAATGTATATATTATAATATTGCAGGAAAACATAGAACATGCACTGGATAAATTATGTATTCATTTGCCGCATAGTTTGGCTGGACAATGCACAGACTTGGTTAAAGATTACAGTAAAGAACTTGTAGAACTGTTATTGGCAGATTTAACACCTCAAGAAGTATGTGTCTTTCTGAAATTATGTGATGATGAAAAATATCCTGTTCCAAGAAATGAATTTATTACTGACGAAGATGGTGAAATTTGTATGTATATATTTTGCTATTACATTAAACCCTTCAATTAGTGAATGAAAATATAATAGATGTTGGTATTTCAGTAACTAATGAAATACCAAATGTTCCACTACGTTCTGAAATATCAGAAAGTACACAGGAAACTACAGAGTGTGCTATTTGTGAATTAGTTATGCATATTATTGACGACGAACTTGATAATGAAAAGGAAAAAGATAAAGTTGAAAGTGTAGTGCATGGTGTATGCAATCAGCTTCCTGGGTCTATTTCTGGAAAATGTAATAGATTGGTTAACAAATATGCTGATGTTGTAATTGAGCTTATTACAAAAAACGTTAGTCCTAAACAGATGTGCACTATGATTGCACTTTGTCCAAAATCTCTATACGAATTGGAAGGTACATACAAAATATTTAAAATTTTAATTTTAATTATTATTATAACACTAAAATCTTCGATTAGTGCAAGAAAATATAATAGATGTTTGTAGAATCTATACGATATTTTACAAAATAACCTTTTGCTATTTCAGAAACTAGTGAAATACTAAATGCTGGACTAAGTTCTGAAATATCAGTAGACACAGAGGGTATAGAGTGTACCCTCTGTGAATTAGCTATGCGTTTCATTAACAAGGAACTTGGTAGTGAAAAGTCAAAAAATAAAGTTGAAGGTGCAGTGCATGGTGTATGCAAGCATTTCCCAAAGGTTCTTTCTCGGAAATGTAATAAATTTGTTGAGAAACATGGTGCTCAGATGGTTGATGCTATTATAAAAGTTGTTAGCTCTAAAAAGGTGTGCGCGCTACTTGGACTTTGCACATTGTATGAAAATGAATCGGAAGGTACATACAAAATATTTAAAATATTAATTTTAATTGTTGTTGTCACGTTAAACCCTACGATTAGTAAATGAAAATATAATAGAGGTTTGTAGAATTTACCCAATGTTCTAAAAAATGGCTTCTGTTATTTTAGTAATTAATGAAATAGCAAGTGTTGAAATATCAGTAGACACGGATGGCTCAGCATGTGCTGTCTGTGAATTAGCTATGCGTTTCGCTGAGAAGGAACTTGGTAGTGAAAGGGGAAAAAATAAAGTTGAAGGTACAGTGCATGGTGTATGCAATCATCTTCCAAAGTCTCTTTCTAAAACATGTAACAAATTTGTTAGCGAATATTCTAGTGCAGTAATTGATCTTATTATAAAAAACGTTAGTCCTAAAAAGGTGTGCACTGCAATTCATCTTTGTTCAAAATATTTTCAGGAATTGAAAGGTACGTACAAAATATTCAAAATGTTAATTTTAATTATTATTTATAATACTAACTTTTTATGTTGACAGCTTCTTCTTCAGATATTACTAAGTATCAAATGTATCCAAATCTTTATCAGCAAGTGTACAAATACATATAAAGTAATTCGTTAATATTTTCCTGGCCAACCTTTTTCTACATTTAATGTGAAAATATAACGTTCAATTATTTTTAGTGTAATACGCTTGTAAATTCTATTGGACAGAGTATAATAAACCTTGTTAAACGACGTGAGAATGTTTAAAAAATATGCATAAAATAAGTCTTTGTGCACCTAATGATTATTCAGCAGTGTTTGGAAAGTTTACGGATTAAACGGTCATACGAAAAAATTCGTGCAAAGTAATATACTTAGGGAACTGGTGTTCGTAAACTGTATGTATTTTGTAAAATGAGTAAACATAATTAAACTTATTGTATGTGAGTAGTTTTGAAGTATAATTTGTAATAAATTGAACAATTCCTTGATATAAGGTGTTTGCATCATAAAGTGTTTAATCGTTTCCTGTTTCTTTATTGTCGATATTAGAAATTTGCTGTTAAGTTCTAGTATTATATTGCACGACATTTTTAAAATATAAAAATGTGCAATCTTCACAGTAGCACTGTTGCAATCTTCTATAATCATCTTTAATTAAACATTATAAACTGTGTAGAAACTTTAGAAATAAATTTACAAATAAGCTTTTACATTATCGCAGATATATTGTCTTTCTCAATGTTAAATTAAGTTCACATTGTATAATGGTTATTGTAAGTATGATGAAAACTATAATAAAAATATAACTATGATTTGATATGTATACATATTTTTAGAACTTATTAATGTACTTGTTATTACTTATAATTGCAAGTCTGTTTCATTAATATAAACTGTGATAATAAAACAAATCGAAATTCAATTTGTCTTTCGCAATTCCTTTTTCCAATTATTAAACTATTTAAATGATATTATTTTATCACGAAGAAATTTAATATTAAAATAGCCTGGAATATATGTATATCTATTTTGTGTATTTCTTCCTTTCCTACTTGAAACACATTACCATATGTCGTGTTAAAATACTAATTTAAAAAACTAATATAAATTAGAAAGAAAGTCGTCACAAATTTGAAATGGCGTTTACCAAGTTTAGGTAATATTTGTTTAAAACGTATTTATTTTCCGCGAGTACAAGAAACGTTATCACTACAATTATTTTCGTATAGTACAACGTATAAGCGAACGGCCATTTAATTTAATTTAATTTAATTTAATTTAATTTAATTTAATTTATTCAATCGTGATACAACCGTTTGAAATTTTTAAGTAGTGTGTCAGTCTTTCAATGTTAACTGTTTGTTTATAAATTTTTTAATATCATTGTTAATCACATAATTCAATTACATAAATAACTATTTGTAAACATTTGTTACCGTGGAAAAATATTGAAAATTATCTTTTTATCAAACTAATCTAATCGAAAATCTTATCAAATTAATTGACTTATCGAAGATCTATGTATTATAAAAGTATATCAAAACTAATTACATTGATTTCAAAACTAATTACATTGATTTCAAAACTAATTATTGTGATTACATTTTTTAATGGTTGTGATATATTTCATTTCTATAATACATTAAGTGATAAGGTAGATAATATAGGGTTATTGTACTACACATACATATGTATACATACATATACAATACAGGGTTCAATCGAACAATATATAAAAACGGACACGACGTGATTTCTTATGAAAAAATAAGAAAAAAGTGTAGAATAAAATTTGTTTATTCTCGGCTTTGTTTTCGAGAAAATTGAATTTGAAAATCCGCTGCGTACTTACATATTTACTATAAGTATACTGTTAGGGCTAAAGTTCCGGTTCGTCGAACGACCTATAATGCGTATCGTGTTTGTAAACAATGTCTATATGGCATTTAAAAGCTACTGTGTTCAAGGAAAAACATAAAGAAAATTTTTAATGAATAAAATTTTATTTTATCAATTATAGAATTGCTGAAACTGTTGTCGCTCAACGATACGTCGTTCGACGATCCGTACCGTACCTTATAATCGATTATAATCGATGTATTCATATTTTCGATATATTCCGATTTAGAATAAATCAAATCGATTTCGCCAATAAAGCGTAGTTTTGCCAGTGGAATGAAAGTGATTTAAAAGTGATATTTGTCACAATATTGACACGATATAACATTAAGTAAATGTAAAAATAAATATAGTTTGTGTTCTTAATGTGTCCTAAATTATGTGCAACTAATATTTCGATGTACTGTAATGTACTTTTGTGAGTGCGTAAGGAGCAAGAGGCAATACGGCGAATCACCAGTGCTATCAAGGAATGAAGCGTTCTTTGTATCTTCCTGCAGATGAGTCACTTTTTAAATTTCTGTGATTACTAATTACACTGTAAAATGAGAAACGGAAATAACATAGCTATTGCGAATATCCGTAAATAATTCCTTTTATCGTGTAATTATATTCAAGTTATCCGTCTAACATTTTTCTTTCGTTACTAGCAATTATCAATATGGCCGTTACTATATTAATAATTCGTTAATATAAAAACGAAGGTATAAAGATAATAAATAAGGCATGCTGTTTTATAACATTATGTTACTAACGTATGACATTAACAAAATTATGGGAACATAAAACATCCAATAAATATATTTGCGAACACGTTACTTTGATTTCACATCATTCGACTACCATCTAATAAAATTCTTCGACAATTCGTTAGTAGGAAAAAAACTTTGACAATCAACTTGCAAACTTATTGGAAGAATATTTTAATCACAACAATGAGTAATTTTAGATAAAGGGGATAAATAAATTGCTGGGTATTTAGAAGACAATTATAAGTAACAATAACCATTATACCACAGAGTAATTGATAAAAATTTCATTGAAAAAATGTTGGATTACTTTATTTTCAAAATAAAATTAAAGAACTTTCCGATCAACCTAACGTAAGTACATATTATACATGTGCTTAAATAAAAAGTATAGAATTTTATACTTCGTGTACGATAATTATCCAGTCCTATACTATATTTGCAATTTCACAGTTATACTTCCTGTTACTTCTAATTCCAACCACTACTAATGCTGCAATCTTATTCTATGCTGAATCGGTAACATTGGAAGCGACACGAAAATGGTAAGGGTCATTTCGACCCTTGTGTCGCGGACACAAAATCCCATAAGATGTTAGGTTTATCCTGTACTTCGTCTGTGGTGTTAGCACAGATCGTGTAAAAAATCTGTAGGGTTTTCTCTTTCGTCTCTTGCGCGCGTCTTTTAAACGTTTCAATTTAATAGTTTGTTAGGTTCTTTTGGATATAGGCTTTTGTTCGTCGCTATGTAAATAGTTAATATTGATTTATTGTATAATGTTAAACAAAAATATAAAGACTTTTGACTAGTTCGGACATATTTATTTCGTCTTAAGACTAATTACAATTATGCCCTGGAAAGGATCCCCCACAAATCGGACGATTTGTTATGCCCTCTGCGATACAGAGCGGTGAGTTTAGGAATTACGTACATACAATCTACCGTCAAAGATGGTAAAGTCGGAAGGTGTAAAAGATTCTCTTTTGCTAAATCTGCATATATTATAAAGATACATGCATACATATGTATATTGAATTGCGTGGGTACAACTATTCGACTTTCTACTAAATTTATTATAATTCACCTATAAGTACCCTGTATATCTAATGTTAGGTATCGATATATATCAGACTAAACTACGATCTTTTAATATGGCAGCCAATTTGCTCGTATTATTTGCTACATAATTGCAATTATACATCAAATAATATCGATTGCCCAGGCCTCACCACGAGGAGGTTGCTGCGAATGGAGGCCCGCCCTATCCACACGGTCCCATCCACCCTCCTTTTACGCAATTGCTATTATATTTCCATTCATTAATGCAACAAAACACCTCCTACTGATTGTACATTTGCAATACGTTCAAAATTTCGATCGCTATGCAAACAGACGACAGCAGGAGACTGAAAGAAGTCGGCGAGAAGGAAAAACAAAAAGAAAAAAAAAACGTTAAAAGTATCCTATCAATTTTAACTTAAAGTACTTTAAGTTTGGCTTAAACTTATCTTACGCCTAGCTTACAGTATAATTTCATTCACACTTGACTTAAACTAGGAATTAACTCAACCCTCCGTGGACAATCTGGGTCTTTCATGATTCAAGTGAAATTTCACTCTCGTATTTCTTCGAATCGAGTTTTTATTTTTTTTTAAAGAAAGTTTGAAACATTTGGCTTAACGAACTTAATTGTGTAATGTAGTAGAGACTTTGATAGGTACTTCAGAATTTTTTTAGAATTTTTCAAAGCTTAAAATGATAAATAAATTAGATTTGAACGCAAACTACCCAGTTTGCCTGTGGAGGGTTTTAAACCTGACTTAAAATTAGAATTTTTCAACCTGGGTGCAGTAAGTTTCCCTTTCAATTGTAGCAGCACTGTGCTCTAACATGAGTCCTGAATTTTCATTAAAACCCTGCCTACTTAAATGTTCAAACCTTAAATAATATCCTATTTAAATGAAAATTTTATTTAACTTAAAAATTGCCTACCTAACTAAGGATCTCACTTAATATTAAAGTTCGCCTACCTGACTAAGAATCTAACTTAAATTAAAATTCGCCTACCTGACTAAGAATTTAACTTAATATTAAAATTCGCCTACCTGACTAAGAATTTAACTTAATATTAAAATTCGCCTACCTGACTAAAGATTTAATTTAACTTAAATATTTCCTCCTTAATTAAGAATTTCATTTGAAGTTGAAAGTGACCTACCTGACTAAAGGTTTAACTTAACTTAACAATTGCCTACTGAATTAAGAATCAAATTTAATGTCAAAAATTTAAAGAATAGCGTGGATAATTGAAATTCCACGTTTATTTAAAAGACAATCTGCCTATTTAGAAATCTGTATTGTACCCTGCCTATTCTAAAAATTAAAGGGGACATAAACGAAAATATCAGTGTGTTAAGATGAATTGCTCCATTGTTTCTCTGTCACCTGCAACAAATTCAAACTCAAACAAATTTAGTAATTAAATTGTACAAATCACGATATGAAGTTTCCTGAAATTTCCCAATAATTTTCTTTTATTCGTAATCACTTTACCATTATTCATCTTCCGTACCATTCGTAATATTCGAGGTATAAATTATCGATGAATCTGTAACAGACTTGTTTTTTGGATTAATAATTGCAAAAATAAAAGTTTAACAGCTTGAAAAAAAGAGATTATGCACATGTAAATACATATATTTTCACACACAAAATAATAAAAATAAAATCAAAGATTTGAAACTTTCACAGACCAGAG